CTTCATCTTCTATTTCTGAGATTGAAGAATATAACTTACTAGTTAGGAGATCTTTTTCTCCTTGTGAGAACTAATTTAAGCTGATAAATAAGAAAACATGGGGCATTATTATTTTGAACTCTGGTCCTGCTCTGGGCTCCAACAAAACTATACTAAAAATCTGAGTAAAATCTTCCGCACCAACCAAGCCAAAACTGTATTGCTTATTTTATCCTCTGAGACATCAGGCCAGTTGATGACTAGTCCTCTGTTTTAGCCCTTACTCCAAGAAATCATCTGGAACAATCTGATGCTAGCTGAGGCCTTTCTCCTCCATACTCTGCCTGCCTGCACACATCTCATGAGGACAGTGACTTGGAAAGATTAGCTACTGTTCTGTTCCAGCTGCCATCAGCCTCTCTAAGACTCCCACCCATGCTTCTGAATGTTACATTTCTTCTGAATGCCTTTCTCTCTTAACCCTCATGCTTAAATCTATGTTAAAACATCTCTATTAAAGCCAGGCCTAGTGGCTCACACTTTTAATTCCAGCGCTCTGAAGGCAGAGACAGGCAGATCTCTGAGTTCGAGGCCAGCCTTGTCTGTGGAGTAAGTTCTAGGACAGCCAGGGTGACACAAAAGAACCCTGTCTTGAAAAATGGAAAGAACAAAGCAGAACAAAAAAACAAATAACCCACCCATGTTTATTAGTTTCCTAGATCCAATCCCTAGATCCAATCCCTTTGCTTAGTCCATAAGAAGTGAATTTTCATGGGCTGAAGCATTGGCTGATTCCAGAATTGAAAACAAAATCAACAAAGATCTTTAAAATTAATTGTCATTTTGTCCTTTTTTTTAATTTTATTTTCCAGTTTAAATTTAGATAAGAAACAAGGTTGCTTCACAAGTCAGTTCCAGGTTCCTCTCCCTTTCCGTCCCCTCCTCCCGTGCCACCCCCCCAACCCCCCCCATTATCCCCTCATTCTCCCAGGGAGGGTGAGGCCCTCCATGGGGGTGTCCATAGTCTGTCATTTCATATAGGGCAGGGCCTAGACCGTCATTTTGTCCTTTGACAAGAACATATAACTCTTGGTGGCAACAATGAAAATTACAGAGGTAGCCAGATGTAGCTCAATGGTAGACCACTTACACTGCGTGCATGAGGCTCTGAGTTTGGCCCCCAGCACCATTACAAAAGTCAAACAACTTTATGGACCACATTGAAGTTAACCAGAGGATTGCTCTTAAGTTAGGACTAACATCTATATATTCTTAGCAGGGACACAGAGACAGTGTGTAATCTCATCACAAACGTGCACACCTGTACATGTTGCTCTGCAAGTTCAGAGTGCAGGTGGCAGTGTTAATCCCACTCAGTTCTTGATCTCAAGTTTATGGCTTCGTTTTCTTAAGGGTTAGGAATAGGTTCCAAGATCCTTTTGGGACCTGTTGTCTGGGTTAATATCATCACTGTTTTTCTCATCAAAGACCAGAGGAGGTATAAGCCTTTTCTTTCTTCCTTCCTTCCTTCCTTTCTTCCTTTCTTCCTTCCTTCCTTCCTTCCTTCCTTTCTTTCTTTCTTTCTTTCTTTCTTTCTTTCTTTCTTTCTTTCTTTCTTTCTTTCTTTCTCTCTCTCTCTCTCTCTCTCTCTCTCTCTCTCTCTCTCGTCTCTGTCTCTCTGTCTCTGTCTCTGTCTCTCTCTCTCCCTCTCTCTCCCCTCTCAGTGGTGTAGTTTAGGTTGTTCTCAAACTTGGGAACCTCCTGCTTATGACTACCAAGTACCTGTATGATTGGTGTGTGCTGCCACTTCCAGGTTAGTGTGATCTTGTCTCCATTCTAGGGAGCAATGTCCATTTTCTCCTCAAGAAGTTAATGTGCTGGGGCTGGAGAGATGGCTCAATGGTTAAGAGCTCTGGCTATTCTTCAGAGGACTCAGGGTCAATTCCCAGCACCCACATGGCAGCTCACAACTGTCTATAACCCCAGTGCCAGGATACTAATGCCCTCATATACATATACATGAAGGCAAAATACAAATGCACATGAAGAAGAAGAAGAAGAAGAAGAAGAAGAAGAAGAAGAAGAAGAAGAAGAAGAAGAAGAAGAAGAAGAAGAAGAGGAAATGTGTAGTAGTCCAGGCTGCTGAAGTCTGGAGGTTTCTCCCAAGGCTTTTTTCTGCATTTAACCATTTTGCTAGAGATGGTCTCTGTCAGCAGAGGAGCTACGTGTAGCAGTTTAGCAGGCAATGGAAGGACTGATCACAGGGGCTATCACAGACACTGTGGATCTGAAGAGCCAGCAGAGGAGCTGGATAGAGCCTGCTGGCATGTCTGGAATCCAGGTCCAGCTCATGACACCCAAGAGCTTCAGTGTTGCCGTCGAAGCCTTGCTCTTATCTAGTTTTGTTATAGGCTAGGAATGTCAGATTGCTCTGCTGGGGCATGAGGGCTGTGGGAAGCAAGCATTCTTTAGACCGGTGGTACAGCCTCAGCCTTTCACAAAGCCTCTCCTCAATCTGCTTTGCTTTGTAAGAGCCCCCATTCATTTCCCTCCCACTGAAACAAGAACCAGGTAGAGGAGGTTAGAGGTTAGAGGATTCTCCAGGTAGATTAACCTCTAGTGAGATACTTTTCCTTGAAGACTTTAGTTTTCCTTTTGGAGACAGGGTCTCTCTACGTGGCCCTGGATGTTGTGGAACTTGATGTGTAGAGCAGGCTGGCCTGAAACTCAGATCCACCTGTCTCTGCCTCCCAAGGGCTGGGATTAAAGGTGTGTACCACCACACTAGGGCCTTGAAGTTTTTGCTAAGGAGAATAAAAGTGGAAGGTTCTGGGCCTTTTGAAAGATGAACTCACTGTACTCTCTCCTTTGCAACTCCTCGTGGCAGGAGTTCCTCTGTATGGGATTGTTGATCCATTAGTCATGAAAACCTGGTAGGACTCCTGGAGGCAGAAGTCACCTTGACAAAAAGATTGCAGAATTTTCACTCTCAGGAGGGTCTGCAGCACACTCTTGTCTACTCACTCACCACAGGCAGTGTTGTTCCTGAAGGGCTGGCTCTGGCATCAGGCTCTGCTCTGGAAGGCTTTTGTCTCCTCTGCCTTTCTGTCCAATTCAGAGGGTTACAGACTAGTCTGTGACCTAATTCTCAAGCAGTTCCGACAGCCAGTTTTTTTTTTCTTCTTTTGCTTGACATGAGATCCTTGCTGACCATCACGCATTTTGAACAGACATCTCAGTGGGAGATTCTTTCCAAATTTTTTGAGTCAGATGTGGTGGTGCACACCTTGGATCACAGTATTTGGGAGGCAGAGGCAGGTGGATCTCTATGAATTCCAGGCCAGGTAAGGCTTGCTACATAGTGACACCCTGCTCAAAATAATTTTTCCTCTTTTGAACTTAATGGGTCTAGGGATGACTCTTCGGTAATTCATCCTGGCTGCAACTTTTACCACAGAAACTGTTATGTAACACCTTGTGCTGTTTTCCACCTGCTACTGGATCTCCGGACCTCTCAGAAGGAGCAAACATAGCTACAGCAGTTGCTTGCCGATTTTCTTCTCTCTTTGCAAAGTATGTAGTTTCCTACCTACCTGGCCAGGGAAACCCCACCAGAAGTCAACACTAGACTGACTGAGCTGGGACTTATCTGTGTGACTGAAATTCAAGTACTCACATGGAGATGGTTTAATGACTTGGAAGTTTTCAAATTGGTGACTCTTTTTGCTATTTAGACCTGTTGAGATTGTGCAGTGTGGGAGTTCTGAAAAGTCCTGGGTGGAAATGCAGTTCCTAGGGATGTAACCATGTTGCTCAATTTAGAAATGGGATTTAAGATATATGGAGTTAAAATGAGGTCAAGCTGGAGTGGAATAGGCAACACATCTACTATCTGGTGCTCTTATGAGAAGAACAAATTTGGACACACATGCTTAACCACCTGGAGACTAGGGAAGAAGGCAGTCACGTCCACACCAAGGACAGACGGGAGCACGTCCCTTCTCACAGCCTTGAGTAGAGGTCAGCCTTGCTACCAGGGAGAGGTACACCTGCGTGATTCACAATGCTCAGTTTGTGGTATGTTGCTAGGTAACAGTCCTATGTACCTTACACATGATCCCTTACTTGTTCCTCACCTGTCGTCTGAGGGAGAAGGTCTTTTGTTCTTTTAGAATAATGTGAGAGTGCAATGTTTTCTTTTCTTTCTTTCCTTATTTCCTTCCTCCTCCCCCCCTTCTTAGTTTTTGGATACAGGGACTCACTCCATAGCTCTGGCTGTACTGGAACTCACTCTGAAGATCAGGCGATATGCCTGCCTTCTGCCTACTGACTTCTGGAATTAAAGGTGAAGGCCTAAGGGCAGGCCAACTATAAATCTCAGAAGCTGCCCAGAGGAGGAAAAGCCAAAGCCAGACTGTTTGTGTTAGCTTTGGAGGTTGGCCACAAGTTGAACAGGCAGCCTTGGCTTTGGCCAACATCTGAAAGAGCAAGATGAAGAGAAGAGAAGAGGAGAGAGAGAGAGAGAGAGAGAGAGAGAGAGAGAGAGAGAGAGAGAGAGAGAGAGAGAGAGAGAGAGAGAGAGAGAGAGACTGGCCACACCTTTCTGAGTCAGAAAAACAGATTGCGTGAACAGAACTTCGAGGTGACTTTGGAGCAGCTGCCTTTGGGGACAGTCACACAGCACATTAATTCTTGAAAGGACGGCCATTCTTTCTGTCTCTTTAGCTTGGTTTAAAGCGAATCTGCCTCCCTGAGGGGTGGTCTTTTGGCCAGGTTATTGACACAACCAGCTGGAGTAACTCTCAGATCTTGGGTGGCTTGGAAATAGCTTTCCACAGAGCCTTACCTCTGAAGAAGGGATAATCCTAAAGTCATTCTGGAGATAGGCTGCAAATCTAGAGAAAGAGTTCCAAAGCTTTTCATCATAGGGACTGGACCTGCAGTTCCACCCACCATCACGTGTGACCTCCAGGCAATGGGTGGGGCTCACTCAGGAAAAGATAAGTAACCACAGTTCCCTTCTGGTATTCCCGACCAGAGAAGCAAGCACATTTCTGCAACTGTTGCCTTCAGGGACAAAGTTTTCTTAAGATTAACCTTTTAAATCTAGTTTGAAGATCCCAAGGTCTGGGACACGTGACCAGTGGTTTGTTTATACAAATAGCAAGCCCCGCTTTGGTTCTCAGCAGTCTTTGGACTTCAGCAGCATGAATGCGTCTCCGTGGCTGGCTTGTGCGGCGCTGTCTGTCTTCTGTGTTTTACAAGTCAGCTCTCTGGACACTTTTGTTGCAGCCATTTACGAGCATGCTGTGATCCTGCCAAATGACACCCTGACACCCGTGTCTCACAGTGAGGCGCTGGCACTAATGAATCAGAATCTGAATCTTCTGGAAGGAGCGATCGTGTCTGCAGCAAAGCTGGTATCCTCTCCCATCTCTCCAGAGCATCCAGTCCTGAGAGGGGTGGGGGTGTGGGAGAGCCTGGGAGTGCGTGGGAGGGGTGAGGGTGATTCGCAGGGCACCGGGTTACTGTCTGGGTCAGATCCACTTACAATACCAGCATAGTCAAGGTGCTTTGTTTTATTAGGATCCTTCTACCTCTAAATTATTAAAGGCACTATTACATATCCCTAACAAATGGAGGCAATGAAGTTTGATAATAACATTTTGTTCATTATTTAAGCAAGACTTTGAGGAACTGGTTATATATTGAACATTTTTGTTCTCATTTTCTGCTAGACATGGAGGGTAAAGTATAACCAGGACAGGAAACAGTTGCTCTTCTCCTTCTTCTTCTTGGAAAAAAAGATTTCTTTATTTTATGTGTCTGAGTGTTTTGCCTGTGTGTACCAGGTATGTGCCTGGTTCCCACAGAGGGCAGAAGAAGGCATTGGATCTTCTGGAAGTAGAGCTCCAGGGGGTTGTGAGCAACCATGTGAGTGCTGGGATTTGAACCTGGATCCTCTGGGAGAGCAGCTCCCGTTCTTAGCCTGGAGCTATCTCTCCTCTCTAGCCATGCCCCCCCACAGTTGCTTTTAGACTATGTAGCTTCAGTGAATGTTTGTGCTCTGGTTCGTAGGGTTCAGATAAGTTGACAATCTGACAGGGTCTTTAGTGTTCAGAGTGTGTGGCCACAAGCTTTTAGCTTATGGTCTGGAACAAGCTGGTTACAAACTGCTTACACTAAGTATCATATTCATCAATTCATTTTAATTCCACTGTCAAAGTATGCCTGTCAAGGTCCTTGAGTTGGATGAAGTGTGAAGTTTAAAGCAAACTTTGCAGTGTAAGTGTGTTTTAACGTAAGATACTCATAGGTCAGTTATAGACTAGGGACATGGAAAGTATGATATCAGTATTAAATACAAACATGCTAGTGTGGTGGGTGTAGTGGCACATGCTTTTAATCGCAGTGTTCCTAAAGCCAAGGTAAATCCCTGCGAGTCCAGGCAACCAGGACTACATGCACAGTGAGACCCATATATTTAAATGATGATTGCAGGTTGATATTGCTAAGGGAGGCCACGGCAACCTTCAAGGTGGCTCTCCAATCCCAAAGTGCCCAGGTTAGCTGAGAGATTACTCTAGGCAAGGAATAGTTTAGCTGACGTGTTTGCAAGGTCCTTCCTCACAAGGATCAGGGATGTGTTTATGGGTGTTGGGTAGGATAATCCAGAGGCAGAAACTAGGATTGAGCTATAAATCGATCCTAACTCAGCTAGGCACAATGGACCAAATTTCAAAGAGAGGTTGATTTGGGGGGAAGAAATAGGCTTGTAGTTAATGGGAGCAGGGGCTTACAGAGCTGTGAGTGGCTTAGACAGCTGTTAGTGCCCATTAGAGAAAGTCATCAGTGTGATAATGGGAGATTAGGAAATCAAAGTGCTTGGGAAAGCCAGATATATATACTTGTAATCTGAATGCTTGGGAGGTGGAGGCAGGAGGATCACGAATTTAAGGTTATTCTAAACTATACAATGAGTTTGAGACCAGGCTGGGGTACATGAGATCCTGTCTCAAAACAAAACAAAACAAACAAACAAGCAAACAAAAAGGCGTGGAAAAAGAAAAAAATGGAGGAAGCAGATGAGTAAGATTAAAAAGTGCTCAAATAGTTATGTGTTCCCCCCCTGTTTTTGAGATGAGATCTCTCTACGAAGTTCTGACTGTGCTAGAGCTCGCTATGTAATAGAGGTTGACCTCCACTCATTGAACGCCTCTACCTCGCCCAGCTTGCCACTTAATTTCCAATTCTTCTTGTAGCCTACCCTTAACGGTTAGCCTGTTTGAGAGACGTTTTAACCGTCTGTTTCTAACAGGGTGCACACATTATTGTGACTCCAGAAGATGGCATATATGGTATGCATTTCACCAGGGATACTATCTACCCGTACTTGGAGGATATCCCAGACCCTCAAGTGAATTGGATCCCCTGTGATAATGCAAACAGGTGAAGAAACAGTACACGGAAGGGATCTGGTAGGGGGAGACGTAGGGGAGAGTAGTTGGGAGGGGAAGGGTTGATATGATCAGATTTTTCTGTATACATATAAGAAATTCTCAAAAATACAAAAAAGTATGAAAAAATTCAATTATGAACCTCTACTTGTCTTACCTGGGAAAAAGGTGTTGGAAACATCAAGCTGGTCAGGTGTTGGCCAGATTGCTGCAGCTGTCTATCAGAAAATAGTTGAGACAACCGGTTCTAAAGGAGACTCAGTTTCAGAGGTTTTAATCTATGTTCATCTGGCCCAGTTTCTTTAGGCCTATGGCAACATCATCCATCATAGTGGCAAAGTATGGCAGAACAGTCTTAATTCACTTCAGAGCAGTCAGAAGGAAGAAACAGAAATGGAAGGGACCAGGGTTCTAATGGCTATTCAGTAACACATCCTCCAACAACACACCTTCCTTATCTTACTTAGTTTTAACCTATTACAGTTTCACCATTTTTAAGTAGTACTTAGGGCTGGGGTACACAGAACCACCATCAGCTTAATTTGGTATAATTTTCATCTCCTATGAATGTATTTATCAGGGAAATGAACATAAATTCCGAGATCACCAATCAATGCTTTAACACCCTTTTCTATTTCTCAGTACCAAAGGGAATCCCACCCAGTGTGAACACTTTTAGCCCGGGAGGATGATAGCTTATAACTTGCTTATGGGCTTAGAGGCGTTAGCAGGGGGAATATGATCCAAAATATTAAGCATAGGTGTATCTGCCTTTCCCCCTGGTTTCTTTGTTTGCCATACCTTTTTCTCATTGCTCCAGCAAAATATCTAGTTAGGAGCAATTTCAGGAAGGAAGGAAGGAAGGAAGGAAGGAAGGAAGGAAGGAAGGAAGAAAAGAAGGGAGGGAAGGAGGGAGAGAAGGAGGGAGGGAGGAAGGAAGGAAGGGTTTATTCAGTCAGAGTGGGTACAGTCTATCATGGCAGGAAAGACTCCACCTGGCAAGGAGGGTGAGACTATGGCCCCATGGCTCCTGCAGCCAGGAAGCAGAGAGTGATGGTTGTCCCTGTTCAGAGAGTGGTGGTTGTCCCTGTTCAGAGAGTGATGGTTGTCCTTGTTCAGAGAGTGATGGTTGTCCCTGTTCAGAGAGTGATGGTCGTCCCTGTTCAGAGAGTGATGGTCATCCCTGTTCAGGTAGCTTTCTTCTTTCTGTTTTTTGTTTGTTTGTTTTTCTTGAGGCAGAGTCTCACTATGTAACTTTGACTGGTCTAGAGTTTGACATACAGGCCAGGCTAGCTTGAACTCAGAGACCCACCTGCCACTGCCTCCCAAGCCTTGGGATTCAAGGTGAGGACCATTACAGCCATCTTAGGTGTTTCTTGGAGGTATTGTGTAGATGGATCCCCTAGTATTTAGTTTAAATTGCTGGTCTATATCTTCCAGAGAGTTTAGATCATTGCAATTCAGAGTTACTATTCAAAGATATGAATTCACTACTGTCATCTTTCTTATGAAAATGTTTGGTACTTTTTACTTTTGTTTACATTCTGTTCTAGTGTGGTTTATTCTTCACTGTAAATTCACAGGCAAGCTTATCTCTCTTCTGTGTGTAAAATCCCTTCAAGACTCTTCTGTAGGGCTGCCTTCATGGTCATGGCTTCCTTTCAGTTTGGCTATCATGTAAGTTTTTCTTTCTCAGTTATGAAGTGTGGCTTTACTGGATATAGTATTCAGTGTTGACAGTTAATTTTCTTTCAAAACTTGAAGTTCATTGCTCCATGCCCTTTTGGTGTGTGCATGTTTTAATTTTTAGAAAACTGCCATTGTTCTGATAGATTTGTCTTACATGTGCCTTGCTATTTCTCTGTGGCTTTCCAAATGTTTTCTTTGTTCCCTATATTTAGTATGTTAACAATACTATCACATAGGGAAACACTCTTCTTATCTTCTGTATTTGACATTCAGGTGGCCATCTCTTTCCCTGGTTTTAGGAGCTTTCCTGCTATGATTTTAAGAAAGAAGATGTGTTTATTTTATGTGCATGAGTGTTGCCTTCATGTGTGCCCGGAGAGGTCAGAAGAAGGTTTTGGATGCCCTAGAACTGGAGTTATGAATGGTTGTGAGCAGCCATGTAGTGCTAGGAACTGAACCCAGGTCTTTTACATGCAACAAGTAGTTAGCTACCAAGCCATCTATCTTCTCTGCTGTGATTTTATAAATATACTCTTTATGCCCTTACTGTGCCCATGCATAGATTTGGCCTTTTAATGGTCTCAATGGTCTCTCTCTCTCTCTCTCTCTCTCTCTCTCTCTCTCTCTCTCTCTCTCTCTCTCTCTCTCAGACACACACACACACACACACACACACACACACACACACACACACACACTGCCTGTTCTGCCTGTCTTTTCTTCTTATTTTTTATTTATTGTCTGGTCTTAACAACTTGATATTCTGTCTTCCATTTGATTCAGCCTGCTGCTAGGACTTTCATACCCTCTTTTATCTCTTGTAGTGCCTTCCTTATTTGATTTAGCTATTCACACCCTGGGTCCGAAGTCTATGTCCTCTTGAATTCTGTTCTCTGTCGTCATTTAGGAGTCTGTTACTTTAATTCTGGTCAACACCCTTGTAACTATGTCCTTATATCCATTGTCTGGGCTTTCTCTTTGGAGTCCATTTCTGTGGGACTGGTGATTTTCATTTTTTTTTCTTCATGGATACTGTATTTTCCATTTGGCATCTGTGCAACTGGAATTAAGTTGTTGGATAAAAAAAACACAAAATAGAATAAACAAAAAACCCTTCCTTATTGTTTCAGTTAAACTGTTTGCAGAATCCTAGAGGGACTGGTTGTGATAGGGTTGAAGTGCCATCCCTTCCCTCTGGCCTGGGGCTAGGGTATATTATTCATTTATTTGTTAATTTATTATTGTTGGTGTTGTTGGGTTTTTTGTTTGTTTGTTTGTTTTTCAAGACAGGGTTTCTCTGGCTTTGGAGGCTGTCCTGGAACTAGCTTTGTAGACCAGGCTGGTCTCTAACTCATAGAGATCCTCCTGACTCTGCCTCCCGAGTGCTAGGATTAAAGGCAAGTGCCACCAATGCCCAGCTTGTTTTGTTTTTTTGAGACAGGGTTTTTCTGGGTAACCCTGGCTGTCCTGGCACTTACTCTGTAGACCAGGCTGATCTCAAACTCTGAGATCCTCTTGCCTCTGCCTCCTGCGTATTGGGATTAAGTGCGTGTGCCATCACCGCCCAGCGGGTGTATGGTTTCATACCTAAACCTTCGATCTATATGCTCAGGACACCAGTCACATTTCCCAACACTACTTCAAGAGCAGATTATCAACTCCAGAAGCAACCTCAACAGAAGGCAAGGCCTGTTTTGCAATTGGAATTTCTTCTCTTATCAGAGTTCAGGGTACCTGCATTCCCCGTCGTAACCTAGCTGTGCTTGCTCCACTGAATTTCAGTTTACAGGATTCTCTTGTCCAGATACCATCTCTCAGTGGGTGGGGAATCGGGCTTTGGAGTTGGGATACAGGTGCTTTCTACTTTTCCGATTAAGTGACTGATGTAGAATTCTCTCAGGTCTGCTGTCTCCTTGCTCCAGTATAATTTGTGGTGTTTCAGACGGTGGCATTAATTCCTCAGTGTCTGCTTTTATAGTTTGTTGCTGTATAATTCAAAATTTTGGTTTTTCTGTTTTTGTTTCTGGTCATCTTATTTTCCATCCTAATATCAGAGGAGGGGATAGAGAGGATTTCCCTTCACTACTTTCAGTCAGTGTTTTAGAGTACAGTCTTACTTCCTTGATACATCTAACTTTTTTTTTTTTGGTTTTTCAAGTCAGGGTTTCTCTGTAGGTTTGGAGACTGTCTTGGAACTCTCTTTGAAGACCAGGCTGGGCGTGAACTCACAGAGATCTGTCTGCCTCTGCCTCCCGAGTGCTGGCATTAGAGGCACCACCACCCGGCACATCTAACATTCTTTAGTGTCTCACTGTGTATCTCTGACTAACCTAGAACTTGCTGGAACTTGTAGCAGGCTGTCCTCACAGAGCTCTGCCTACCTGTGCCTCTGAGTGCTGACACATCTACAATTTTTTGACTTTATCTTGTCTCAGTCTTCTGCTGCTCATCATGATCACTGTCCCTTGACTTCCCTTATTTCTCAACTTTTGGTTTGTTTGCTTGTTTTTTAGGTTGAGTAGCCCTGGCTCTTCTGGGTCTTATTATATAGACCAGACTGGCTTTGAACTTAGAAAGATCTGACTGCCTTTGCCTCCTCAGTGCTGGAATTAAAGTCATATGCTACCACACCTTGACAAACTTATTTATCTTTTTGAGACAGGGTTTCTTTGTATAGCCCTGGCTGTCCTGGAACTCACTCTGTAGAACAAGCTGGCCTCAATTCACAGAGATCCTCCTGCCCCTGCCTCTGCCTCCAAGTGCTGGGATTATAGATATATAGATTATAGCATCACCACCACTGGACTTTCATGAATTCCACAGTGGCACAAAGTTTATTACGTGGCTGAGAATGACCTTGAATTTCTGTCCCCTGCCTTTACTGTCCTGGTGCAGGGATTACAGCATATGTCACCACACCCAGTGTATTTGGTGCTGTGGAGAGAACCCTGTACATCAAGCGTGCCAGGCTGTTAGGCAAGCACTCTACCAACTGAGATACATTCATCTCTATCTCTTTTGTCTCAAGACACACATTGAAACTTTTCAGGTTTGTGGGGACAAGAGAGCGCAGTTCGCCCCTGCTCTCCCATTTTCAGCAGTAGAATTCTGCTTTCATCCTTGCTCTCAAATTTGTGTTAACTGCTATGACTGCTGATTCTGGGATTAAAGACATGCCACCACGATTAGCTCCATTTTCTTATCCTTGCTGTTTCTTTGTATGTTTTATGATTCTTTGTTGATGGTTGAATGTAATGAGTGGTTCTTTGTCCTGGCAGTCTGGTCCCATGGCCCTTGAGCCCCAATAAACACACAGATGCTATATTAATTATGAACTGTTGGCCGGTGGCTTGAGTTTCTTATTGGCTAGCTTTGTCTTAATTATTAACTCATTTCTATTAATCTAAGTGTTTCCACATGGTCTTATCTTACAGGAGAAGGTTCTGAACCTGTTACTCCTTTGGCAGGCTACATGGAGTCTCCTGTCTGCCTATACTTCCCAGAATTCTCCTCTTTTCCTAGTCCCACCTATCTTCCTGCCTTATTGGCCAAGAGTGTTTTATTCATTAACCAATAAGAGAAACATATATACAGAAGGACATCCCCCATCAGTTGAATCTTTCAATCTAAAGATCCTTATTTTCCCCAAGGTTTGCTGTATCTCCTCTTCAAAATGAGGGAGGGAGATGTCTCTTACACCCTGATAGTCAATTCTACCAGCAAGAGCAGGTTTAAAATGGAGCTTGTGTACAAATATTACTTTTTCTTTGTCTGTATCTCTATGTTCAGAAGCAAGCATTTAGATAAGGACCTTGACATTTAAATCTCGGAGTCCTTGTTGCCCAAGCTGTCTGTAAGCTGCGCTGAGAAAGGACAGCTTCCTGCTGCAAGGCTAGGTAGGCCTGGGAGATGGGTAGCCAAGGCTAATTAGAACAGAATTGATGAAATCAACTACCATTTGCCATCTGGGCTTTTGAACGGACTACAGAATTCCAAAATAGTTAGGACAGATTCTCCAGTGCATGTGTTGTCCAGGTAGGGTGTCAGATTCCCCAATGTTCTCTGTTCTGCTATCTTTCCAGTCTTCTTCTGGTTCTAAGTTTTGATTCACACATAGTACTTCTTTTATTCTATCTGGTTTCATGAACGGAATGTGGAAAATTTGCTTTATAATATCCAGAGTATGCTTCAGACATTTAAAATTGAATATACAACTGCATGTATAATTTTAGACTTGATATATTTTGTGATTCAAAAGTGTGCATGGATGGTCTCTTAATCTCAGAATAATTTTCTACTACCAAATTACCACTATTGGTGTCCTCCGAAGTCTCTTGTCTTAATTTTTTCCCCACCTGTCAATTGGTATGGTTGTATATACCAAACTATAGATTTTTGTTAAAAATTAATGCAGATTAAAAAAAGTTCTCTCCCAATGAACGTATTCCAGATTTGGCTACAACCCAGTACAGGAGAGACTCAGCTGCTTGGCCAAGAATAATTCAATCTATGTTGTGGCGAACATGGGAGACAAGAAACCATGCAACACTAGTGACCCTCAGTGTCCTCCTGATGGGCGTTTCCAGTACAACACTAATGTGGTGTTTGATTCCCTGGGCAAACTGGTTGCACGATACCATAAGGTAATACTGATTAACTAATTAGTTAATTAAATGACTATAGAATAAAAGTGAGGAGAGCAATTATTATTTACAACAATAAATGACCTTTAGAGGGAGAGTAGTGACCACACAGAATAGCATTTAGATGTAACCAGTTCCTCTAAGGAGACCCAGTGCATTCCCAGGGTATTCAGAAACCCCGGAGTGTGTCATGGGGGTAGGTTGGGAGTCACCTGGATCCACCTTCATTGACTACTTACTCTGTCATCTTTTGAGTTTTGACTTTCAAAATTCTCCTGAGGTAAAGGGCCAAAGGTGAAATAAGAAGGCCTCATGGGGCAGATTTAGTCCTGAGGAAGGCTTGGAGGTCTTTGAACATAGTGAGGTGTTTTGTCAGTGGTTGTCTGTTTCACCTACTTTGTAAGATTCAAGATCATCTGTATAGACAGGTGCACCCATACACACCATCCGTGAGGGGAGTTGCTGGCCTCATTCTACTGGAGTGGCTCTCATTTTTTAAGGTGCTTCTCTTCCGTAAAGACAGTGGTCACAGATGAAACACGCACTGTTGAATGAAAACAAACACATGGAGAGTAACAATGTCCTGGGAAGCTGCCCAGAATTTTATTCCTCTTCATTGCTTGCTTACCACAGCAAAACCTTTTCATGGGTGAAGAACAATTCAACGCACCCATGGAGCCCGAGTTGGTGACTTTCAACACCCCGTTTGGAAGGTTTGGCATCTTCACATGCTTCGATATCCTCTTCCACGATCCTGCTGTCACCCTGGTGACCAAGTTTCAGGTGGACACCATACTGTTCCCAACCGCTTGGATGGACGTTCTGCCTCATTTGGCAGCCATTGAATTCCACTCAGCTTGGGCTATGGGCATGGGGGTCAATTTACTTGCAGCCAATATACATAGTCCCTCGAGGAGAATGACAGGTAGGTAATATGTGATCTTTGAACTCTATTTAGAATGAACATTTAAAAAATAGTTTGTAGCCGGGCGATGGTGGCGCACGCCTTTAATCCCAGCACTCGGGAGGCAGAGGCAGGCGGATCTCTGTGAGTTCGAGGCCAGGCTGGACCGACAGCCTCGAAAACAATACAGAGAAACCCTGTCTCGAAAAACCAAAAAAAAATAGTTTGTACATCTTTTATTTTTCAACTCCTATTTTTAATTTTATTCTTTGCTTACTTTTTATTTTATGTGTCTTTTACACATATCCTGATCCCGTTCATTTCCCTATCCTTTCACATCTACCCTCCATCCCTGCACCCCCCAATAAAACAAAATTTAAGGGGAAAAGGGGGGATTAAAAATCTCATCATGGAAATGGCAGTGTGACACAGTGAGTCATACAGTAAACCCCTTTGTCTATATATCTTTACTTGCAAGGGTTCTTTTCAAAGAGTCATTCTTAATGACTGGTTTGTGGCCTCTGGTTTCTGCTACACTATCAATGCTGGGCCCTCATTAGGACTCTTCTTGGGCATCCTGTTGTTGTTGCCCTGTGTTGTGGAGATCCTGCAGCTTTGGGTCTGCAGGACGGGTCCCTTCACGTGATCCTGCAGATCATAGATGGGGTGGATGTTGGGCCAAGTTCTAACCCTGGTTCTAGGCCTGCTCAGCTACAGGGTTGATTCACCCATCAGTTCTCCCTGTCCTCACTACCAGGGTGACTTCTCCAACATTGTCCTCCTTAATTCACCTCGTGAGTGAGGGGTGGGGACAGTTCCCCTGCTTTCATGCCCCCCAGGGTCAGCTTTCCCACCCTTACACCATCAGGGCCAGCTTTATTATGTTGCCCAGGCAAGATACAGGGTCACTCTCTAGAGTGCTGCAGTTGGTGAGGGGTGGGGTGGGGGGACAGCCTGCCCCCTCGTATGACTCCAGTGCTAGCTCCTCCACCTGTCTCAGGCATTGATAGTCAGGGGGTGGGAGGAGAGTCTCTCTCTTCTGCCCATGCTACCACATGTCAGATGTCAACTCCTATATTTTTTTTTGAGACAGTGTTTCCCTGTGTAACTTTGGAGGCTTTCCTAGAACTAGCTCTTGTAGACCAGGGTAGTCTTGAACTCAGAGAGATCTGCCTGCCTCTGCCTCCCAAGTGTTGGGATTAAAGGCATGCACCACCACTGCCCAGCTTTCAACTCCTATTTTTTTTAAAGCTAATGTAGTCTTCCTTTTTTATAGAAAGTACTTATTAAAGACTTGTGCTGGGGAAGTCCTGAGTATATGTCAATAAAGCACTGTTGGCCAATAGGGAAGTAAGATAGGTGGGACTAGGAGTTGAGGAGGACTCTGGGTAGGAGAAACACAGGGAATGTAACCGCCATAGGGATAAGAAACCCGGAAACTTCTCTGGTAAGAGAAATACTTAGATTAGGATAAATACTTAAGTCAGAGTTAGCCAGTAAGGAACAAGCAAGGCCAACAGCTTCATAATTAATATAGCCTCCTGTGTGTTTATTTGGGACTGATGCAGCTCTGGAACCAGGCTGGCGGGAAAGGCTTCTCTTTACAGACTTGTACATTTGATATATAGGTATTTTGCATGTATGTGTGCAATACCTTTGAAGGACATCAGATCCCCTGAAATTGGAGTTACAAATAGTTGTGAGCCACCATATGGGTGCGGGAGATTGAATCCTGGTCCTGTGGAAGGGCAGCCAGTGCCCTCACCACTGAGCCATCTCTCCAGCCCAACTCCTAATTTTGGATATTTATTTGGTGATATGCTGTCCATTCAATCTTTATGGAAACTGTTTTGTAGCTGGGTGTGGTGGTGCCTAGCTGTAATCTCAGCACTGGGGAGACTAAAGCTGGAAAATCCTGAGTTCATAGCCAGCCTGGGCTACATAGTGTGTTTGAGGTCAACCTGAATTATATAGAGAGATGCTGTTTTAAAACAAACAAACAAACAAAACCAACAACAATTAAACCCAAAGAAAGTAAAATAATGAACACCAAAATAAAACATGCCTTCATTTGGCAGATTTATTTAGTATTATTCAATGTGCCCCCTTTCTTTTAAACGTCTTTATTGTTATGTTCTATGTATGGATTTCCTCTTGTCTTTGTCCCTGGTCAGCACACATTACAGAAATTAGTGAAATATGTTGCTCAGAGAGAGAGGGGAAAACGATGAGTCTTAGATAGTGGTGACAAACACAAAGTCTCTTATTATTCTGTTTCCAACTGTATTTCCAGGAAGTGGTATCTATGCCCCAGACTCTCCAAAGGCCTTTCACTATGACAGGAAAACCAATGAGGGAAAACTTGTTCTAGCGCAGCTGGATTCCCACCCAAGTCGCTCCACTGTGAACTGGACTTCTTATGCCAGCAGTGTAGAAGCACCCGCAACAGGAAACCAGGAATTTCAGAGCATCATTTTCTTTGATGAGTTTACCTTTGTGGAGCTCAAAGGAATCACAGGAAATTACACTGTTTGCCAGAATGATCTCTGCTGTCATCTAAGCTACCAGATGTCTGAGAAGCGAGCTGATGAAGTTTATGCCCTTGGGGCATTTGATGGCTTGCACACTGTGGAAGGGCAGTATCATCTGCAGGTAATGTCACTGTCAGAAGAATTTCAAAATCAAATGCACACAGCTGGGAAAAATATCAATCAATGGAAGATGGTTTTCCATGTGTTATACATAAAGGAAATATTTCAGTTAGGGTTCCTATTACTGGGATGAAACTCCATCAAAAACAAGTTGAAGAGTGTCTTGGTCACTGTTCTATCACTGAGGGGACTACATGACCAAGGAAGAAAGCAACTAATTGGGTCTTGCATACAGTTTCAGAGGTTTAGTCTATTATCCTCATGCAGGGAGAATGTTGGCATGGAGGCAGACATAGTGCTGGAGAAGTAGCTAAGAGTTCTACAACCAGATCTGCAGGCAGCTGAAAGAGAGAGAGAGAGAGAGAGAGAGAGAGAGAGAGAGAGAGAGAGAGAGAGAGAGAGAGAGAGAGAGAGAGAGAGAGAGAGAGAGAGAGAGACTGGACCTGGTTTGGGCTTTTGAAACATCGAAGTCCACCCCTAGTGACACATTTCATCCAAAAGGCCCCACCTCCTAATCCTTTCAAATAGTGTCACTCCCTGGTGACCAAGCCTTTAAATCTATGAGCCCATAGGGGCCATTCTTATTCAAACCACTAAGAGGAGGAAAATGTTTATTTTGCTTACACTTCCATAGCAGTGTTCATCATCTAAAGAAGCTCAGGTCAGAACTTGGAGAGAGGAGCTCATGCAGAGGCAGTGGAGAAGTGGCAACACCAATATTAAAATTATCCAAATTACAGATAAAAGGTAATGCAGTACCTAGGATATATGTCCTGCATGGGCAAACTCAGGCACTTTCTGTGTGCTCATCAATGTCTGTCTTGCTTTATAAAGAACTTAACACTAAGTGTGCACTCAATGCTTAGTATAAATAGAGTTTCCCCTGAGACAGTTTCTAGAGTGATTTATGGCTAAGATGCAGGCATCTTCCAGTCCTTAGCAGGAAGAGGGAACTATTACACAAATGCTCACATACTGTCTGCATTTTAATTCCTTGAACTGGCTGTCAGCCTATCCCACTCAAATAGCGTGCTCTCCTAATAGGACTATTTGTTGACAGTTTCTTCCCTATCTAATCTATTCCTTATACGACTACAAAATAAATTGCAGTGTCTTTTCTGATTATATGACCTTCTTGCTGAAATTCCTCAGTAAGCTATTAATTGACAAATCAAATGCTTGAATATAGAAGACCCAGAAAGTCTTGATTTGTGGTTCCTGTATCCCCTACTTACACGTGCTCTGGAATTCTGTATATTGAGATGCTTCTAGCCATTTATCCCAAATTTCCAGCATCTATAGAATCTCTACATGTTTACACAATTTTATTCTTTTATCGATGGTGGCTCCCACCTGCTCACCTTTCAACAGCACTGTTCAGTTGTTATCTTTGCCATTGAGGATGCTTGCCACATCTGCAGGACCTCTGCCACTCCTCAGCCCAGATCATCCTCTGTTTGGCTTCATCAAAGTCACAAGATGTCACATTATTCACATACTTGAGACTGACAGCCCTGGAATTCTAGAACTGGGCCTACTGGGTGTCGTTTAGCTTACTGTGTAAACACGCCAGCAATGTTCATTTCCACAAACGACATTTGAGCAGTCGGTATGTACTAGATGCATAACAGTGTTAACGATGTGGAGGTGAGTGTAAGCCATCCGCTTGAGAAATACAGTACCTGGGGGAGTAGAAAACCACGTGAGTGAGTAGTTTCTCAGGCCTGGCATGTGACAGCATGGGGTGTGGAAGAGTATCACATTGCTGAATTTAATATGATCTGGAGATTCACAGAAATTTCTAGAGCTGCTGCTTGAGAGAAGAATGGGAGTTTGAAGGTATCCTTCATAGACCTAAATATCTTTGGTCGATTCCTTTGGCAGTACATTATAGGAAGCACCGAGGACTAACATGCTTTATAATAAAGCACATTAGTTGTTCAGCAATAAACCAGATGACTCTAATGAGGAAGAAACATTTTGCCAGCTAAAGATGCAGAGGCAGTTTTCTAAAGCGGGCTATTTCAACTTCCTTCCTTCCTTCCTTCCTTCCTTCCTTCCTTCCTTCCTTCCTTCCTTCCCCCTTTTTATTATAGTTATAAAAATAGTTCCTGTTATGCAGCCCTGACTATGTAGTTCAGATTAGTCTTGAACATTTACTTGGTCCTTCTGACTCAGCCTCCAGAGAGCTAAGATTACAGGCATATGTCACCATATCTGATGACTTCACTTTCTTAAAGAGTAGATAACGTCACATTAATGAGTGAATGCAAACATCTTCACACAGGTTTTTTTTTTTTTCTTTTTTGGTTTTTCGAGACAGGGTTTCTCTGTATTGTTTTGGAGGCTGTCGGTCCAGCCTAGACTCGAACTCACAGAGATCCGCCTGCCTCTGCCTCCCGAGTGCTGGGATTAAAGGCGTGCGCCACTACCGCCCGGCCTCTTCACACAGTTTTAAGTAACTAGCAAGTGAACATATCATGGCATAAAGCATGGCACTTCAATACATGGCTACATTGTAGAGTGATTGGGTGAAACTAACTCCACGATTATCTCTGTTTGCACTTCTCACCTAGATCTGTACTCTGCTGAAATGTAAAACCACCAGTTTACACACCTGTGGTGATTCAGTGGACACAGCTTCTACCAGGTTTGAAATGTTCTCCCTCAGTGGCACATTTGGAACTCAGTATGTCTTCCCCGAGGTGTTGCTGAGTGAAGTCAAGCTTGCACCTGGGGAATTTCAGGTAACAATCTTTGCTTCATGTAGCCAATTGATTAAGAAGAGGAGGCATATTGACATCCAAGCTTAATCTAGGTTCTTCCAAATATAAATATTCCCATTTGAAAAGGGTGGCATTGTCTTGAGGATCGTGAAAGACTCTGAGCAGACTGGATTTCTTACCTGAAAATTGATATAATGTGTGTATCCTTTTTGTCCCTAAAAATAAATAAGTAAAGCTTATTGAGGTCACTATTTGGAGGAGGCTGGGCTGCTCAAGGTCTGTTGAGTAGGAAGATTCAATGATACTTGAATAGTTTAGGGCCCGTTTCAACAGTGAAGCCCCTTTAGGATTGCCAGTTAGTGATGGCCTAGGGCTTACTGCCCAGTAAGACTACTGGAAAAAAGCTGAAGGAGAGACAATTCAACGGTGGTTGTTTGCAAAAAGGAGAACTTCCAAATCCCAGAAACAATGGCTTGCTTCATAACCCAGGATGCCCTCCAAACCACATTCTTCTCTGACTGTGCAGGTTACACTTGCAGTCCACATTCCTTGCAGGAGTGATTGCAGGGGGAAAGGTGCCCTGTGGGAGGAGATGGGCTGCAGGGAGCCAGTGACACTAATAGATGCGATACAAACCCCACCTCTGCCCCCTGCTTCTGACTATTTTCCATGTCTTCATGGTCTGGAAGGGCTGGATTAGAAACCACTACCTCCAATTTGTCATGCTAACTAATTCATGGCATGCTTCCTCAGACATTGTCAGGCAACGATAATACATGAACCAGTATTGGTTCTGTCGCTTCAAATTTGCTTACCCCCTGCAACATTTGAAGTACTTATTGGAAGTACTGTGGGATTTTCATAGGTCCAATAGACCTTATCTACTCTTCTGTGTTTTAACCAGGTGTCAAGTGACGGACGTTTGTTTAGCCTGAAGCCAACATCTGGACCTGTGTTAACAGTCACTCTGTTTGGGAGGTTGTATGAGAAGGACTCGGCATCTAGTGCTTCCTCAGACCTCATAACACACTCACTAATGATAATAACGGTGATTGTCCTACCTATTGTACATTACTTATGTTAATAGAATTTTTATATTCTTTATTTTACTTGGAATAATTTAAAGTTAGTGGATGAAGAAAAAGCTCTGTTTGTCAATAGTGGCCTCTGGTGTGAGTAAATAAAATGCCTTTTTCTTTTCTTTCTTTCACAGTATTTTTTTGGCTCTTTAAGATAGGGTTTCTCTGTGTAACGGCCTTTTTCTTTTTCTTTTGGTTTTTGCGAGGCAGGGTTTTTTGTTTTTTGTTTTTGTTTTTGTTTTTTGTTTTTTTGTATTGTTCTGGAGGTTGTCCTGGAACTCGCTGTAGACCAGGCTGGCATCGAACTCACAGAGATCTGCCTGCCTCTGCCTCCTGAGTGAACAGCCTTTTTCTTTATAGGACACATGCACCCCAGATCCATCTCAGGAAAATTAATAGAACTTTGAACACTGGTCTGTCTTAGAACTGAGCTGTTGAACCAAATGAGGGTTATATATGTTTTATTAAGAAGAAACAAAAAATTACAGTTAAAAGGCATGCCAAACTATCATAACATATTTACAAGAGGTTTGAATCTATTACCACCTCATTATGATATATATCTTACTCAGTTAAGCTTTAGCTTTCCCTGGCCATCCTTGAACCCACACTGTAGACCAGGCTGGCCTCAAACTCAGAGAGATCCACCTGCCTCTGCCTCCCAAGTGCTGGGATTAAAGGTATGTGCCACCAACCCCCTGCTGTCCCTTTAATTATTTTATTTAGTTATTTGTTTATTACATTTTTAAAATTAGAAACAAGATTGCTTCACATATCAATCCCATTTTTGTCCCTTTAATTCTTAAATTGAAGTCGCAACTCCCATGAGCTCAGAATGTGATTGTTTGGGGGGAAAATGGGGTATTTAAAAGAAGTGGCATGAAGTCAGTAGCATGAACTTTAATCCAATATGCCTGATGTCCTCAGAAGAGATTTGGGACAAAAGCAAGCATTGGGTGAAGACTGTGTAAACTCAGAAAAAGATGGCCATCTACAACAAGGAGAGGGCCTCAGAAGCAAGTGAACCTGCTCACATGTTGAACTTCCAGGCTCCCAGAATCATGAGAGAATAAAGTTTTCTTTAAGTGCTCCAGTCTTTGGCTCTCTGTCACAGCAGTTCAGACAAACAACAACAAAACAACAAAGACATCTTCTAGGCCCCATTTTCAAATCTAAAGATTTGGACAAAATGATTTACTTAGAAGTATCCAGATAGGCCCTATCCCCAAGACTCCAACAGACTCCCGGAGAAGATGGTTCATGCATTGACAGTCACTATATCATTGAATAGCTAACCAGAAAGCCTTATTCTTGAAAATATGTTTAGTCTAATACTAAATGTTCTCTTTCACTAACATCAAAATATTTAGATGTTATGTCATTTAGTGAAGCAAAGGGCAACTCTTAAATAAAAAAGGAAATCTCTCAATGGAGGATAATCCACAGCACTAATATAATTGTGTCTTCTAAAACAAATTGTGCCCTTCTGAAAAGGAGAGCAGGTACTCGGCAGTGATCAATCCAGCATAGTGTTGCTGTAGCAGTGAGTATATACAAGAGAATATATCTGTGTGCCCATTCCTGTGGGTATATGTGTGGAGAGGTCATATGACAACCTTAGGTTGTCATTCTTACCTTCCACCTTGTTTGAGATAAGGGTCACTCTGTAATTCATTGTTGGAATGCAAGGCTGGCTAGCCACCAAGCTTCTAGAGAATCTCCTGTCTCCACCCTTGTCTAGCCAAAGGAAAACTGGGATTACAGCATACATGATATAGTTTCTGGCTTTTATGTCACGTCTGGAATTCTAAATAAAGGTCATGAGGCTTGCCCAGAAGATGCTTTGTTCTCTGAGCCATCTCCTATGCCAAAGGATACTCATTTCCTTCTCAATGGGGATTAATGTAATAACACAGTTGCATCTTTACCTTTGTAAGAGAGATAAATTACATTCCTCATCATCAGTTTTGTAGCTACAGAGTATAGGAGAAGGAAGACTAAGCACCAAGGAGAAAGCGTACGATTAATATTAGCATATGTCCTGGAATAAAGTCCAACATGACTTGATCATGTCTGTTGATGTGTCACAGAGAATGGAACCTTGAGATGCTGAGAAAGATCTTAACATGAAGAATGGAAATGCCTGAGGTCTGAAAGGTAAGTTTACAATGATAAATGAGCAATCAGTGGAATAAAACAGAGAACAGAGTGATTGTGTGTGTTCAGTGCACATGCGCATACTTAAGTGCAGGTCAGAGATCGATGTTACTGTCATCCCCAATCATTCTCCATCTTGTAATCCAAGACAGGGTACCCTTTAAGAAGGAGCTTGCTGAATCTGTGAACCCAGCAAGCCTTGGGGTTTTGCCTGTCTGCCTCCTCAGCGGTGGGGTTAGAGGCATGCACCACCATGCCTGGCTTTTCATGTGAGTACAGTATATCTAAACTCAGGTCCCCATGCTTAGGCAACAAGCTCTTTACTGACAGAGCCGTCTCCCTGACTATAAAAGTGCATTCTTTTCATTTTGTTTTGAAATTGCCCTCTCTGGTGAAAAGGCCACAGAGATAGCAAACACTCTTATCATCTAGAGCTGCTATTTTAGACATCAATATGTTCTACAAACTTGGACACCGTGCCAAAGCAAAGAGGGTCCACCTGCCACCATGGTGGTAAATTATCTGATAAATACTTAATGTTTCAGCAAGTGCATTGTAGATGTGTTAATTGGATAAGCTTCAAATTGAATTATGAGAATATTAGTATCACCCATTATGATGTTAATTTAATGAAATTTGTGGTAAAGCAGCTGACTTCTTTCCATCTATGGTAAAATTCTGTCTTGTTTTACCAAAATAACTAATTGAGGATTTATTTGTTGTTACAATGTGAGTGAAAATGAATTAAGAAGCCTGCTGTTATATGTACTTAGTACTAGGAAGGCAGGTATTGTGAAGATTAATTATAAAAACACTATAGTGGGAAAATAAAATCTGATATCCTGGAATTAGCTTTCCAAGCATATGTGTAACTTAACATAAAAATATGAAAATTGCCTTCAGAGATTGTCACTAATATATATTACAATACTTTTAGTGACTAGGATAATTTTAAATACTGTTTTGGAAATGCTTGAAAACTATAATTACCATTTTATCTTATCTACCATTAACAACTAGTTAATAAGACTTTCCTACTCAAACAAATACAAAGACGGTAGCTGGACAATGGGAGGGGAGTGAGAGACCTTGAAATACTCAGTCCTAAAGAGAAAGTCTCCATCAAATATCAAATCCCTCCTCTCAGGGCACAAGGAACTCCCCCTCCCTGCCAGAAGAAGTGGAAACAATAAGACTGTAAGAGTCACAGGGGATTGCAGACACCAAAACAAAACAACAAAACAAAACAAAACAACAAGGCCTTCAAAACACAGTAGGACCAACATACGTGAGCTCACAGTGCAGAGAGGGGAAGTGAACACAAGCCCCCATCCCTACCCGGAAGCTAACTCCGATTGACAATCACATGCAAAGGAAAAATTAGTTTTCTCCAAGGGAGTTCAAACCACACTTAAGGGCATGCCCCATGCCCAGCAGCAGATGGTCAACACAATACAAACTAAATGGTATTTGGAGGGGTTTTGTCTGGGCATTTTTTTAACCTTACAGGTTTTTTTTTTTTGCTTATATATTACGGTTTCTGATTTTGTATTTTTTGTGGGATTTATGTTTGTGCTTGTGTGGGAACTTGGAGGGTTTCCCCTACTCACCTAGACCTAATGCCATGTCACAGTTGCATCTTTACCTTTGGAAGAGAGATAAATTACATTCCTCATCATCAGTTTTGTAGCTACAGAGTATAGGAGAAGGCAGACTAAGCGCCAAGGAGAAAGTGCACGATTAGTATTAGCATATGTCCCAGAATAAAGTCCAACATGACTTGATCATGTCTGTTGATGTGTCACAGAGAATAGAACCTTGAGATGCTGAGAAAAGTCTTAACATGAAGAATGGAAATGCCTGAGGTCTGAAAGGTAAGTTTACAACGATAAACGAGCAATCAGTGAACAAAACAGAGAACAGAGTGATTGTGTGTGTGTGTGTGTGTGTGTGTGTGTGTGTGTGTGAGAAGTTCTTGAAAAGGGTGTGGGGTCAAGTTCTTGAGAATGCAGTAATATTTATTTTCCTATTCATGTGCTTGGACAATCTGTGAGGGAAAACTAAAGAAAAGGTTGAATCTTTGATATTTTTCTTCCAAATTCTAGGTGGTGGCTAGGAGCTGGAGATTGGAAATCAGACCAACACAGAACAAAATTCCTTTACTGATCCATTGTAAAAATTTACCAGAGGACTGGAGAGATGGCTCAGAGGTAAAGAGCACCAACTGTTCTTCCAGAGGTCCTGAGTTCAATTCTCAGTGACCATGTGGTGGCTCATAACCATCTATAATGAGACCTGGTGCCCTCTTCTGTCCTGCAGAGAGAACAATGTGTAGATAATAAATAAATCTCTAAAAAAAAAGAAAAAAGATTTTTTAAAAATCAGATTTTGGTTCCTTGCTTAATACATAAATGGTGAAATTGTTTAAAGTCTTGGAAATACGCCCGGGACTTCATGCAATGGTCTTGGCTCAGGAACGGGTATAGGGCCAATGAAAGTTCTTCATGGTTCTCTTCTCTGTGTCTTTTGTTTCCCGCAATTCTCCTCTCCTCTGTCCTCTCCTTGGCTGTCCCCTCCCGCTTCCCACTTCTCTGCATCTTTACTGCCAGCAGCTGCCCAGGCTCTGCTGCCACAGGCGGACTGTTCAGTCCTCAGGAGTATGTAAGAAGCAACAAAGACATGAAGACGACACACTGTGAAACCCACCATCTTTGAGTGCCACCGAAGTTTCTTCTAACCTTTTCCATCCCACAGAGAAAAAAAATGCAAAATGGCTAGCTTGACTCTTACTGACTCACTTCATTTGGGCTTTTGGAATCAAGAAACCCAATATAAAACCCCACACTCTGAAATCTGTGGAAGGCTGCCCTCTGCAGGCCTGCCTGGGACGAATACTGTATTAAAGAGTCTGGTAGGATAAGAAATCCTCATTTTAGCTGAATGTGGATGTTCATGCCTGCAGTTCCAGAACTCGGGAAATGGAGGCAGGGAGAAGACTTTTGGATCATCCTTGCCTACATAATAAATTCAAGGCCAGCCATGGCTATATAAGACCCTGTCTCAAAGCAAACAAACAATGACAAAAATAAATTAATGGCCAAAGTGCAGTTTCTTTTTTCTTCTTTTGAGACAGGGTCTTACTATGCATCCTAGGCCAGCTTTGAACTCAACATCCTCCTGCCTCAGCCTCTCAAGTGCAGAGGTAACAAGGTATACACCACCACACACAGCCTCAAGGTGTCATTTCTTTGGAGTGGTTCAGAAAGAGGTAACATACTGCCGAAAATAAACATGCAAACAGAATGCCCTGTTAAGACACCCTCCCCCTCTCTCTTTAGACAGGGTTTCTCTGCGTAGCTCTGGCTGTCCTGGAACTTGCTTTAGTAGACCAGACTGGCCTCAATCTCACAGAGATCTACCTGCCTCTGCCTCTTGAGTGTTCAGATTAAAGGAGTGCACCACCACTGCCCAGTTGTTCTTTTAAAAGTTGTTTGTTTTTATTTTATCTATGTGAGTGTTTAGCCTGCATGTAAATGTATATATATATATGTGTGTGTGTGTGTGTGTGTGTGTGTGTGTGTGTGTGTGTATGTGAGCACTATGCATGCATTTCTGGTGTCTTCAGAGGCTAGTAGCCCCTGGAATTGAAGTTACAGATGATTTTCAGTTGCCCTATAGATGCTAGGAACTGAATGCTGGTCTTCCGCAAGAGCAGTAAGTGCTCTTAATTGCTGGACCATCTCTTTGACATGCTATTCTATTTATGATGGCTGAAGATCTGACAGAAAATCCTCTAAAGCTCCACCCTGGAATGTTCATGGAAGGTCTGATTCAGTAGCGTCATGATGACTTTAGTCAACCAATCTGTTTCCTGAAAGCGGTTTTAGGAGATTTATAAGATCTGCCAGCATTTGGTATATCTTTGGGACTCTGAGACAAGTAAACTCACATGCACACACGTGCACGCGCGCCCACACGCATGCACGCACGCACACACACACACTCTGTTACACAACATTATCTTCACTTTGCATTTTAGCGTCCATATTGTTCTTAATATCCCATAGCTATTACTAAGACTTTAACAAATTCCAGGAGCTGTGTTAGGCCCTGTACAAGATACCACACATACTAAGATATTTAGGTATAAATACCCTAGACATGCAATTAGACGTAATTGCCCATAATGTAATATTTTTGTTCTAGTTGAGGAAGGCAAATAAAATACCTAAAAAGTGAATGGACTCAAGGGTTGATAGATTCCAACCTATGGATGGCTCCACATAGTTTTCAAGGTTAAGCCAAAATGCAAAGGCCTGACTGTCAGGTTCTATACCTAAATACTCTGGTAATAAAAATGGTTATTGGTTTTGAACTGCATTATAGCTCAGTTGTTAAGCAACTATACAATTTATTACGGTTGGCCAAGAAGCAGATAGACGGCAACATTGCCTTAAGCAGGAGGTCTGTTTCTTTCAGTGTATAATCCAAGTTGAAAAGCCCATTTCTTTGTGTTCCATCTACAGCTGGGGACTGAGCTACTTTTGCTAACTCACCAAGGATGACCTCTAGTCATTTCCACAAGTGGAAGAAATGAAATGACAACATAAAGAGGTGCGATTTAGAGCCAGGTTTGCCTTTAATTCCCGAACTTCTACTTTATTGTGAAATCAATTTTTAAGTTGCTTTGAGTGCCAGTCTCATAAAATGCAAATAATATTTCCAGAACCTCAGGATTGGCATAAAGATTAAATGTGACTATACAATTTGTAGGTTGTGGCACACACTAGGCAAACCCATAAACAATTTTATTGCTATGCTAACAGAATACTGTTTCCAAACAGCAACAGCTTCATGATATAGAGCTACTTGAAAACCTAATAAAACATATCTACCACTTGCTAACCTAATTTAAAAATCAAAAATCAAAGACAGTTTTGTCTTTTATGGGATATTTTTTGGAAGGCCACAATGGTCTTCTTGAAAGTAGGTTTAGAAATAACCACACGTGGAATTTCTGTTTGAGGAAGTGCTCAGCTGTGGACAGTATAGGCTCCACTCTGCAATATCACAGAGTTGAAATCACACCCTTTAACCAAAACCTTTCTCCCACAAGCCCCAAACTGTACTCGATGGGGCATTACTTCATACATTGAACACCTTATGGATTCCTTGTGTTCTTTTAAAGGCAAATACCTCTGAGTGCAGTTGTCTTCATATATCTGTTGAAAATGTAGAGCTTTTGACAACCGTTCTCCTTGTGGGAAATAAGAGTTCTTAAATGGAGAGTAGTGTCTTTCTCTAATCCATAGAGAAAGACAGGTGGAGAGATCTAGATCACGTCTTTACCAGCAGCACTGGGCAAAGCTGGGAGATGAGAGGAGAGTCCCTGACACGGGGGATTCTGTAGAATCCTGAGACATGTCGACACAGTTTCCAAGAAATAATTAACCACGTCCATGACAAGTTTGCAAAGAGGTTTGGATACAGTTTCTGTTGAGATGAAACTGTTTACTTTTTATGCCATCAGAACAGCTAAGCCCATTTGTAAATGTCAAATGCAGTAGTGGAGATTGGTATCTATTTCCTTATTTTTGCTTCTATCAATTGACAGTTTGTTTCATTGCAAGTGATATTTCTTCCCTACTTATTTATGGTATTTTTAGTAGACTGGAGGGAAGGATATGAAAGCAAAAATAGCTTTGAGTTCTGGTCTTATTCTTTTGATTGGTGATAGACCATCTCACAGTATTTATTCTATTCTTCACTTCAGCAGGGAAACACTATCTTCTATAAAGTTTTATTGGTGCTCTGCTATACCTCTTCATTTCCTATGGACTATGGCTTTTTTCTTGTTACAAAAACAAAATTAAGTAGTTGCCACAGTCCTATGGGCCAAAAATCTTAAGATTTCGGCTTAATTGAAACAATGAGACAACTCATAATGTTTTATGGTAAGAAGAACTCTGTGAATGCAAACACACACACACACACACACGCACACTGAAGTGTTTATGTGTTATCTAAGTTTCCCTTATCATAAGGATTTGATTTGCTTCACTGGTGATGGTACTTCCTTCCCTAACACTGGAAAACAGTCATTGTCTGTGCCAGGTTCACCCTGTACACTTGCTTTCAACACTTTTTAAAAACAGTTTATAGCATTTCCATATTCTTGTGTGGAGTTAGCATTTTCACATGAGTCCTTCAGGCTCTAATGCCTAGACTCAGGTCCTTGGTTACTTTTGCAGTGTTAGGTATGGGTTCCATGCTATGCAGAGAGCCTTAAATCTGATTGAAAAGTGATTGGTTACTCTCATAACCTTTGCATCACTACTGCACCAGTATCTCCTGCAGACAAGTTGCTGTTGTAGGTCTTAGGGTCTGTAGCTGGGTTGCATTGATTATTACCTTTCTCCTCTGACACCTAGTACCTTCTAGCACTATGAACACTGGTTAGGGTTGAAGCTTCTAGTTGAGCATCATTTCAGTGCATCCATATTCCTATGACAAGCCCGGGACCTTAGACTTACCTTATGCAGTAGAAAGCCTTATTCTTACTCTTCTTAGAGATCTTTTGTAGAACACAATGTGAGTGAAATAAAATAAAGCTACTGAGAACAGTCGGCTTCACTTAGCAGACTCTCTCATTTAGTCAATTTTACTTAATGTTTCTTATCATTTAAGAGAGTAGATGAGACTATGGTAACCTTGTCTTTCCTTTCCTTTTTCAAAGTTACTTTCCCTCCCCTTGTTTGGGAGTCAGGGTACTCATGGAGCCTTAGACTGGCCTCAAATTCTCTATGAAACCAAGAATGAACTTGAATTTCTGATCTTCCTGCCTCTGCCTCCCAAGTGATAAACTGCTGACATGCACAACCACAGACAGTTTTATGAGGGTCTAGAGCTCAGAGCTCCTGCATGCCAGGCAGGTGTTCTACCACTGAATATCTGCAAATATCACAGTGTCTATCTAATTATTCACTGATAAACATACTTAAAATCTGTCCTTGGAAGGTAGAGAATCATCCTTAACAAGACAAGTTTAGACACTGGACAACAGTGACTTAACTCTTGATTAATCTCATAATTGGATGGCTATGTGATATTCAAAAAGCCATTTAAGTAGCCGGGTGGTGGTGGCACACACCTTTAATTCCCTTGGGAGACAGAGGCCAGCCTGGTCTACAAAGCGAGTTCCAGGATAGCCTCCAAAACAATACAGAGAAACTCTGTCTTGAAAAAAAAGCCATTTGTAGAGAAGGAATAACGACAAAAAATACATTCAAAACTTAACAAAATTTATGCTGAACAATTAAAATCCATTATAAGTGGCAAATTGTGCCTTCAAATTTTGTTCTTATTCCAACATCCTTTGCTTCACAGATATATTCTGAATACACTTAAATTTTATTATTTTAGAAATATAATTAATCCAGTTAGTTATTGCCATGATACTTAGTAATGAATTACCACAAAAACCAGTAACTCAAAATAATAGTGTCTTAGTTATTTTTCTATTGCTGTGAAGAAAACACCATAGCCAAGGCAACTTGTATAAGAAAGCATTTAATTTGGGGATCACAGATACAGAAGACTGGACTCCATGACTGTCATGGCAGCAGGCAGGTGGGTCTGATTCTGGAGGAGTAGCTAGTGCTTATATCCTTATTGGAAAGGAGAGGGAGAGAGAGAGAGAGAGAGAGAGAGAGAGAGAGAGAGAGAGAGAGAGAGAGAGAGAACACTAAAATACTAATAAGGCCACACCTCCTAATCCTTTCCAAACAGTTCCATCAACTGGTGACCAAGTATTCAAACATATGGGTCTCTGGGGACCATCCTCATTCAAGCCACCACAAGCAACAACTTACATGCATATATCTTGCATGTATCTATGAAGGCTTCTAGGGAAGCTCTGCTGTGTGCTGTATCTTTTCATGTCTCCATCTCCTCCACATGTCTCTGTTCTTCTTTGGACAGTGGGCTAGCTGGGGTGATGGCACAAAAGACATTCAGAAACACACAAGCATTCCTATAGGCTAGGTCTCAAGTGGAAAAAAAAATTTATTTCTGTCTGCATTCATTTGGCCAGAATGCAGCAAAGTTC